CCAGATGTACGACGGAAACCGTGGCGGCAGCAGAACGGGCGGCGGCGGCCCGCAGGCGACAGAGGCGGCGCTCTTGGCCACGCCCCGCGCCCGGCGCTCGCTCGCGAGCACCGGAACGTACGGCACGATCTTTGGGCGCCAGATCGGGCAGACGATGCAGATCTTTGCGTACTCGAGCGACACGGCAACGAACGGTGCGTCCGGGGTGCTCATCGACGCGGACACCGCCCTCTCCTGGCAAACCGTCGAGGTCGCCTTTGCCAACGGCGTGATCGAGAGCGTCGCCGCCGAGAACGGCCTCACTGCGACTATCAAAACGAACAACAAGGAAGTCGGCGTCGGCGACTTGGGTGGCTCGGGCAAGTCCCACCCCGCCGGCCTCGTCATGACTGTCACCTTCACCTCCGGCACGGACATGGACAGCGTGTACATCGACTTCTCGTCGAGCACAACCGTGATCTGCATCGTGACCTGCGTCCCGTTTACCTCGACGCCCCGTGTGGCGACCGTCGTGCAGGACAAGAGCAACAACCTCTACCTGTTCGCCTCGCCCAACACGCCCACAGACGGCGTGGCTTCGACCATCGAGATTGCGGTCACGGGCGCCTTTAACGAGAGCGACATCACCTCCCTTCTCACTGGCATGACGCCGCAGGTTGGCAGCGGCTTCTTCGGGGTGGGCTTCCTCGACGGCACGTCGAAGCTCCCCGACGGCGAGGCGATCGCTGTCGTGTCTCGGCCCCTCCTGGACATCGACGTGGACTCTGTGACGACCGCGGTCGTCGCCTCTCCCGCCGCCCCGGCATTCGACGCGCTCCTCTTTGTCATCGGGGCGGCCTTCGACCCGTGCGTCTTGTGCAACGCAATCCTGAGAAAGACTGGCAACAGGCCCCGTTTGTACGGAAACCCGTGCCTGCCTGGCGACCCGACGAAAACCTACAAGGACGGCCCCAAATCCACCGCCGACCTCGTCCAGGAGACTACCGAGTGCTACACGAACATCGCGGACGATCCTACGAATCCGGTGCGCCGCTGCGTCTATGACTACATGGAGGGGTCAGGATACGATTACGAAGGGAAACTGAACGAAAAGCCCCTTGACCGAATTGAGACGTGCATGACGCTCCCGTCGCCGTCCCCGCCTGCGCTTCCGCCGGCCTCGTACCCGCCGCCGCCTCCCTCCGCCTTGCCTGCGCCGCCGCCCTCCGGCTCGCCGTCGCCGCCTCCCTCCGGCTCGCCGTCGCCGCCTCCCTCCGGCTCGCCGTCGCCGCCTCCCTCCGGCTCGCCGTCGCCGCCGCCGCCCACGCCGCCGCCTCCCTCCGCCTTGCCTGCGCCGCCTCCCTCCGGCTCGCCGTCGCCGCCTCCGTCCGGCTCGCCGTCGCCGCCGCCGCCTCTGCCGCCGCCTCCCTCCGCCTTGCCTGCGCCGCCGCCCTCCGGCTCGCCGTCGCCGCCGCCGTCCGGCTCGCCGTCGCCGCCGCCGCCTCTGCCGCCGCCTCCCTCCGCCTTGCCTGCGCCGCCGCCCTCCGGCTCGCCGTCGCCGCCGCCGTCCGGCTCGCCGTCGCCGCCGCCGCCTCTGCCGCCGCCTCCCTCCGCCTTGCCTGCGCCGCCGCCGTCCGTGTCGCCGTCGCCGCCTCCCTCCGGCTCGCCGTCGCCGCCGCCGCCTCTGCCGCCGCCTCCCTCCGCCTTGCCTGCGCCGCCGCCGTCCGTGTCACCGTCGCCGCCTCCCTCCGGCTCGCCGTCGCCGCCGCCGTCCGGCTCGCCGTCGCCGCCGCCGCCTCTGCCGCCGCCTCCCTCCGCCTTGCCGTCGCCGCCGCCGTCCGGCTCGCCGTCGCCGCCGCCGTCCGGCTCGCCGTCGCCGCCGCCGCCTCTGCCGCCGCCTCCCTCCGGCTTGCCGTCGCCCCCCCCCTCGTCATTGCAAATGCATTTTTTAATGTGGTTTACACATTTACTATTTTTTTTTTTTGACAACGTCGTAATGTCTGCCATATTCATTGGTCTCGTGTTCTATTTCGGGTCTTCAAGGTTTTTGGTTTTAGG